TCTAATCCAAAAATACTGGGAGAACAAGAAGCCTGGATTTTCCCTTTTTCCTTGAAATCTGCAGTATTTGTAATACAAAGCTGCACATTTTTCACACATGCAGCTTTTCTTTAAGTAGATTAAGTCCTGGAGCCTGTATAAGTAAGGAATTTTTCCTCTGACTCCAGTGGGGGCAGAATCTGGCCATGAAGTCCTAAAATCAGAGAAAAAAATGTTCTTAAATTTCTGAAAAACTGCAATTGGTGAGGAAGAATCCAGTCTGCTACCAGACCACTTGAAACCAAAAGCATGATCGAGAGATATTGACAGGCCTGAATTCCTAAAAATGCTGATAGTTTCACATCCAGTTTTTAAAAAGCAGCTTTGGAGGGGTCCTGCAGACCAACTCATGTCTGATACATGCCCCAGCACATGAGCTGCTATTTATTGCATAGAGGAACAACCTTTTGCAGGCTCAGAATCAGGTATTCCCACCTGCCACTCTGTCCCTGGGCCCAGTCCAACAGCACCACTGAATTCCTCATTCATCCTTCAGGAGAACTGTGATGTTTTAAAAAGCAGCTTTGGAGGGGTCCTGCAGACCAACTCATGTCTGATACATGCCCCAGCACATGAGCTGCTATTTATTGCATAGAGGAACAACCTTTTGCAGGCTCAGAATCAGGTATTCCCACCTGCCACTCTGTCCCTGGGCCCAGTCCAACAGCACCACTGAATTCCTCATTCATCCTTCAGGAGAACTGTGATGCTCATTTCTTCTTCACCCTATGCCTGCTTGACTAATAACACACCCCACACTGCCAACTCATCAAGCTTTTACCCATCATGGGCTGCTAATCCTCCCTCACTGCTTAAGAAGAGCCATAAAGTGTGTTCTTCCCCAGGGTGTTAGAAGGGTTGTTAGGTTTGGGGGGGTCATCTCTATTTGCTTGCCACTGCCAGTTTTTTTAGAAGACCTCTCCTGTTCAACATCTGACAACCCTGTAAATAAAACTGTCTGCAGTGCAGCAAGGGAAAAACTCCAGGAAACAAAGTGCTACTTATTCCTCCTGATGGCTAAAATGTCAAGGTGCCCCAGTGCACCCACACACAGTGATTTATCCCTAGGATGTGCATCATCCTGCAGCTGTGGTATGCAAGCAAACAACTCAGGCTATCACTGTCCCAAAAATCTAGACCCTTCAGCAAGCAGAAGGCAGCTGGAAGCATTTCAGGTGAGCATCATCACATACAACACAACAGTTTCAAAAAAGCCAAGGTGCACTGGTAATTCATGGCTGTACCACCTAATGGTCTGCAAGTCCAGCCCCCAGGTGAGGTGACCTGACAAAGTGTCTTTTCAATGCTTCTTCATTTGTAGATCCTGACTTATAGCAGTGAGGTGGAAACAAATCTTTTCTTGTACTAAATGTATGTAGCTTCATCCAGCACAGCATGGAATTGATCATTATATCGGTATTAGGTAGTCAGGGAGCCTGAAATACTGCCCAATTTTAAATAGCTATAGTAAGGTTGGTGCTTGTGCTTCCCTTAGCTATTTTCAGTGCAAAAGAGAAACTCTTCAGAAGGGCAATTCAGAGCAACAAAGTCAGATGAATGTTCTGATGTGTCTTCTCTACACAGATGTACAGGGAGGCTGCTGAAATAATTTGCATAAGCAACATCCTCAGTGATCTAATTGTAATGAGAAGGAACATTTCTCCTCTACCTTTTGCCTAGTTAACTCTGCCAGTCAAAGCAATTACAATGTTCCAATGAAAAATAGGCTGCAGCCTCCAAGCTGGGCTCAAGATCCAAAGTGCTTCAAAGCAATGGCAGGACTGGCTGCTAGATTGAACAGTCTCTTTCTCCCCTAACAGTTATTTGATGGTGGTGAATATTTCACAGAACAAAAGAAAGAGCCAGGTCTGTCTCACGCTTTATTAGAGTGAAGAGGTCCCCTTTGTCAAAGGGATTGCTCAATGGTGTTCTCTCCCACTTCTCAGAAACAGGATGGTTATTGGGTCCTTAAGATCTAGTCTCTGTTCCTGCCTGAATACTGCAGAGACAGCTGTCCAATGTCATTCTTTCAGGCACCATCTAACACGACCTAAGTCAATAATTGCCTTCTCCCAGATTAGGCTCCTTAAAAATGGCAGTATTTTGAAAAGAAAAAGCCAATTTTATTGTCTGCTCTTAGTTAATAAAGTTTCTTAGCTGTAGTACCTACGCATTTTGTTCAAAGGTGCTGATGATGTCAAGTACATCTCTTGAAACACACTGATTGTCTGGAAAAGGTACAACATGTTCTTAAAAACCAGTTCCTCTTAAAGTACCCCAGGCTAAGCACCTCATGCTTCATAAGCACCATCCCACCTCAGCATGTACCTGTCAGATCACAGCTGCTTGACCTAAGGGACACCAGACAAAGCCTTTGCCAAACCCAAAGCTTGAATTCATCCCCCTGATGTGCTTCACTTGGAAAAATGTTTATGCTGCCTATTGACTGCAAAAATTTTATCTCAATTGCCATCCAAGAACATGCTAATTTGTATTAAATAAATGAGGCTAATTATTTGCTTTCCACAAAACAGGCTGTGCTAAAAGCTCTCAATTATTTGCTTTCCTGATGAACAAGGCAGAGCCTTGCACACATAATAGATTCCATCACAGATTCGATCACACATTAGAAGGTCAAGCTAAGTGTTGTGTCAAACAGCTAAGATAAGATGAGGTTGGGAAACACAGGCCCCTTGAGGAGAACCCCCCAAGCCCTCAAAATGCTCTATGGTGCCATGTGTCAGACATAGGGAGTTGGAGAACCAAAAATGGGATGACTGGTTCATCTACCACAAGGAATCCTAAAGTTTCAGTGTGCAAATGAGGGAAAGTCACATCTGGGGAAGAACAAGACAACATGACCTAAAAAAGGTGCATGAAGTCTCCAGCTTCAAGAGTGTCCATTTGAGAAACAGCTCCACAATCTGACCAAACTATTCATGAAGAGCAGAACTTTTCTTTAGCCTAGCAGAGAAATCACAGTGCACAAATCTGCTTAACAGTTGAACAGCTTGACTGTGTTTTATGGCACCTCTTTGATATGGTGGAAAGAATTCCTGGTGTTAATTAAAGCATGCAGTCAAGTAGTATGAAATATTATGTAAAAAATATTGTCATAATTTGCATAATAGATAATGAGTGTTCATCATACAATGCAAGATCACTACTGCCTTATTACAGGTATTTCCCTTATGTACACATGCAAAGTGCATCTTGAAAAGACAAAAATAACATTTCTTCTGACAAGACTCTTCCCTGAATGACAAAAGCTGCAGAAGGCTGTTCTCCAGGTTTTCCTGTGTAGTCAGCTCTGAAATGCTCTGCTAAGCAGCAGTTGTTTACAGGAAAGGTCAAGAGGACCTAATTAACTTGTCATTGTGCATAGACCCCTTTCCTCACCCAGGCGATTCAACTAGTTTCCATAAGAGATACCTGCAAAGCAGCAATAACCCTAATTCACTGGAATCACTCTTTGGGGTTTTTCCTGCAACATGCCAGTTATTCTCCACAACCTGTGACTGTGTTTTATGGCAAACACAGACTAGTGCTGCACAGCACCAGGGAACACAGAGCTGCTGATGGGGTCAGGCAAGGAAGTGGTTTTTGTAGCTCTTAGGGACACACAGCTGATGTGCTCTGAGCTCACAGACAGACACAGCAGCTCTGTGCACATCACAGTCAGTCCTGCTTGCCAGGACTGAAGACAATTTGGTGAGCACGTGAGCAGCTTTCAGCTCCTACCTAGACAACCAGTGGAAGCAGCCAGGAGGGAGATCAATAGTTTGTCTCATCTGGAGGATGAAAGCTCTAACAAATGCATCTCCACTTCCTAGTGCTGAGCTGGACTGGATGCTAACATTAGATCTGGACCCACAAGAGTCTGGCTCCATCCATTACATATGGATATAAGGACTTACACCTTATTTAAGAATGAGAGTACATCACAAACAGCAACACTAGCAGAAATCCCCAAGCCAGCAAGAAGCTGCCTATGGTGCTGAGAACACAGACATCACTGTGGTGTTACAGCCAGACTTCTGACCTCTCCTGAAAGCTGCACTCACAGGTGGCATTTTGTTAACTTACCTTTCTCTCTCTCCTGGGATCACACATGATACAGTGTTAGCACAGCTATCCCATTTTATTTTGGACTTTCACACTTTGCACTAGCACTGGTACATCTATATCTCTTTCTGCTTTCAAGCTGATGTGTCTGCATGACCCTAGCACAGAGATGTTGCTCCAAAGATCCAGTCTGGTATCACTCCATGAAGCCAACTCAGCTTCTTCTGAGCTTTCTCTGTCATTTATTATACAATAACACATTGTGCCTGGTAGATAATTCTCTATTACAACAGTACATCCCTTTAAATGCAAGATCTTTCTGTTTGCCTCACTATGCAAGTTAGGAGGAAAGTATCACAAGCTGATCTAAAGCACAGTTCAGAATTTGTGTTACTTAGTGAAAGAATTAAAGGAGGAGAGTATCACAAGCTGATCTAAAAGCACAGTTCAGAATTTGTGTTACTTAGTGAAAGAATTGGCTAACATAAGTCTGAGGGCTTCGATCTATTGCCCACCAAAGCCAATGATACTGTTGTAAAGTCAGTTGATAACAACAGGATTAAGAGGGAGAAGATAAAGATACATTTCAGAATGTCTTTGGATAAAGATAAAGCAAAATGACACAAACAAATCCCAAAGCCCTAGCAGTCATGAAGTCACTCAAAAAACTGTCTGGTGAGCTTCAGTACATAAAACTACCTAGAGAAAAAAAACCATGAAGATTTACAATCACTCCATTTTTTTTCTTGTTGGTGTTGTATTTTTAACCTGTTGCACTGATTATAACATGCTGTCAACAGCCTCATCAATTATCCATTGCTAAAAAGTGGGCTCTGACATGCTGCAAGTGGTATTAATTGGTCTCAGTAGCACATAATGAGTTTAAAAGCTCCTACCTGTGTGCCCCCGGGGATGGTGGCTAGAGGCCGACAACAATTTACAGCAGACCATTAACACATAGACCAGAAAGAGCCAGTCAGATAGAAGCATTGATTTGGCACAGAATCTCATCCTGGAGGCAGAAAAGGAAACAGTTGAGTGAAAGAACAATGTGAGTAGGGAATAACATAAAAACGAGGTGGGGAAGGAAAAGCTGAGAAGATGCTGAAGAATAACTAATATGTGTTATTACAATATAAAGTGACAAACTCATATTCATGATTTAGTGGGGATCAGTTCTTTGTTAAGAATGTTTTAGAATTAGTAGCAAAGCAATGACTGTAAGACATCACACTATCCACAACCACATATTTGTAACAACAACTTATAAATGCAACACATTTCTGTGAATCTGAGGGTTATTGTTTGGTTTTTTGTTAAGATCCATCCATGCTTATATTTAAATATACATATTTATATGTTGTGCTTCTATTTCTAAACTGCACCTACCCCAATCATAGAAAAAAAATGCTGTTTTTATTTAGTTTACTTACTTTACTTAATTTGCTAACGTTACTAACTCTCATATAGCCATGACAGGAACTGGTTGGGCCTCCCAAGCAAAAAACATCTGCAAGATTTCCTGGAGATCAATAAGTTTGCTGAGGGTTAAACATTCATGAAACCAGCACCTCAGTCAAGTATGTGAGGACTCACTTCTCTGCCAGGGAGTAAGAAACTGCATTACAGAAAACATTTGTTCTAAAGGTGTGTGTTGTTAGTCTTGCTCATGTTAGTTTTAGAACTAAGTTCGCAATTCCCCAGTAATTTTTCTGCAAATATCTACAATTAAATCCCTCAATAGCTTATGTTATGCCATTCATCATATAGAAAGGGAATCTAATCATCTTCTGAAACTCAGTTACGATGATTTATTGCCCGTGCGAGACATAAATGGGCGTTATGTAGTTGAACCCTTAGATACCATGTTCCACACTTTCAGCAAATTCTGTAAGCAGAAATACATCAAATTAATTAAGGGCAATTTATAGATTTGCATAAATTGAACTAAATACTGCTCTCATAGCAGTGACGTTAGTCTGCAGTTAATCAGCACACTGGGATTAGGGAAACCTATCACAAACGTGTTTATTTGCACCAAAAACTCCTTTGGGAATGTCTTTCCCCTGCAGATTTCAGTTCTGATTCTTCCAAGTATTTTCTACATCATTTTATTTATCGGTATATCTTTAAAATACCCAAAACTATTCAGCTAATCCAATATTCAAGAGCTGAATAGATTGATAGTTAAAAATAGACCAAACTCCAAACAACTCATGTCTTAGATAGCTCTACCATCACGGCCAAGTGAAGCAGTTGGATCTTGTTTAAATTTGATAAACATCTAGAAATGAAACCAAAGCAGAGGCCATGCTTTCTCATTTAAAAGTATTTGTTTAATTTCCCCTTTCACACTTCATAAAACAATATTGTTTTCTCATTGCGAACGTTGATAAAGCCCAAAGAAATCACAAATGCACTTACTATTACCAGAAGTTAAGAGACCAAAAGGTTGCTGTATGTAAATATATTTTAGCAACACTGTTTTATACTTGAGAAAGAAATCCATTGGTGCAATCCCCAGCACCTTCAGCTGTCCTTGCAGACTTTACTCCAGTCTGCAAACATTTTTTAAAAGATACACAGATATTGCTCAAGAATTGCTCACCATGTCTACAGATCTCGGGAAACAAAAATTACAGGTAAAGAAGTCACATTTTAAGGATTTATTTGGCAAAATTATACCTTTTCTGGCTCTAAGTGCTGTGTTTTGAGCCCAACAGGTTGACACCCTTAATGCAAACAAACCAGTCCAGGAAGGAACACACTGAGGGTCTTTGACAGCTGTCTATAGAAGTCTTTTGCAAGCATGAATCGAGCCCTGAAGATAAAGACATCACTGGTCCTTGCCTACCCTATGAGTAACCTCATACACAGCACTCCCAGGCTAATTCAGAGCAGCTAAACCTAATTCACCTCTTGCATCCAGCTGAACCACTTAATGGCACTGCAGCTAATGGGATTGAGTCACTGTGAAACCAGCATAAATGTTATTATTGCTGTTGATCCAATATTATTCTAAGGAAACTGCCCAGTAGGTTCTGAAATCAACTCACCATTTCAGATTTTAGTCACCCGAATCTTTCCCAGGCAACTGAACCTCATTTCTTTAGGAGAGAGATGAATTTAATCTTAGTTTTCTTGCTCTCTCCATAAGACATAGTCAGCTACAGCTTATGCACCAGTTATCACTAAATAGGATGTCATTATCTGCTCATCTTGCAAACCCATCCCTCTGTTGCTCTAAATGCAAACACTGAATCTGATCCAAATATCAGTGGAGACCCCAGCTCTGGTGTCACTCTGTAGTTCCACTGTGAAAACAGGAACCTTCCTCCAGGTTTCCTGAGGTGTGACTGAAAGGGTTTAACCTATGGAATTAAATACCACAGATCAGGCATTTTAAACCTGTCACTTCTGGTAGCAGTTTGATGGAAGGGGCTAGTCTTTAGTCCCAAATAGTACATCATACATTCAACAGTTGCTATTTCAGCACTGAAGTGAGCCCAAGCATTCTCTCCAATCCCAGTGCAGGAGCAAAACTGGTCTCAGTGGAAATGATTATATGCTGACCTAATCGCAAAAGCTGTCCCTGATTATGAGTTTGACTCTTTTGAAGCCATGCCCTAATGCTAGGGAATGGGAAATCAGGGTTCATTGGGCTAACCTTACCCCTTTGTAAGAATATTCAACTCCAGGAATACTGTATCACTACAAAGCATCAACTTAGTGACATCCAAACTGCAAAGCTGCTAAAAGCATCCAGTACCATTGAAATGATACATTTGCAGACTTCAGTCTGCCTTGCAGGAAGACAGGACACAAGTTTTCAGCCTGCTAATGTAAAGAAATACAAGAGGATCTTTGAAAAAGCAGGGAAAAATGAATTTTGGCAGACAGATGCAGCAAGGGGTGCTGAGCCCTTCAGCGTCACTGGGCTGCCACTTTCAGAAATGTCAAGCCTTCATTCTCTATTGGATTCAAGTGGATATTGTTGCTAACCAGAACAGCGAATCTTCAGTGTCATTTGAAAGATAAAAGTGCTCTTACCTTGGGGACTTTGCAAGAATTTTGTTCCAGTCAAACACAATTATTTCAGTATGTTTTTCATAGTTATTCCAGATTCCCATTTGCAGCAGCAAATAAGCCTTTCTGCATTTCAGAATTTCTCCTTCACTTTGGGGACCTAGAAAGAAAGCCACATTACACTGCAATTAACATCTAGAATGGTGCTGTAAAACACACCTTTCTTACCAAAAATCTTTGTTTCACAGTGCCATCTACAGTGCAATCCAGGGCAAAAAGCAGCAGTCACATAGCACTTTTCTTTCCAAGAACACAGAGAAACTGTGGTGAAGCAGCTCTGAAATATCACTGCATTAACTACAGGCAGAGGTTGCTGTACTAGGAATTGCAAACAGAAGGTGTGCAGCTCACTGTGGCTTTATAACTACATGTCCTCACCACCCAACCACTGTGAAAGCTGAGAGGTCTAAGACTCCACCATAGTGCAAACTGATTTCCACATTCAGGAAGAGATTTTTTCCAGAGAGAGTGCTCAGGCATTGGAATGTGCTGCCCAGGGAGGTGGTGGATTCACCATCCCTGGAGGTTTTCAAGCTGAGACTGGATGTGGCACTTAGTGCCATGGTCTAGTGACCACGGTAGGGTTGGACTTGATGATCTTGGAGGTCTCTTCCAATCAGGTAGATTCTGATTCTATGATTACATAAAGCCTCCAGCAGTTTAAGCTAGAGATTATTCAAGGTATAGGGAAAAAACACTTTCATTGTCTTCATAAAGATTTGGCCAGGGCCCTGGGGTTTGGGTGCCTCAGGAGCAGAGGGTTTGCAGGGTCACATCACAGGAACATGTCTTTATGAACATTATTGCACCCTCTGACAGTTCTGTCTCTACTTCCTGCATCACCTCTCACACCCAGCCCACCTCCACCCAGAAGTTACACTTTGAAATCTCTACATGGAGAGACTTTTGTAGCAGTCCTGACACACGTTCCCTGGAATAACGAGCTCAAACACTCCATTTTATAGACATTCAAGTCTCTTTGCTTTTGTTGTTTGTATTTGTTCTCTCACTTCTATCCCTGGGCGCAGCTTGACCTTCTGCTATTGAAAACACGACACAGTGCAATTTGTGAGAGTAATAGTAATGTGGTCTTCACCTACAGAGTGATCACAATAACCTTTTCTCATCTTCTCCACCACTCTTTTCATTTCAATCTTCCTTTAGTCAATTAGAAATGTGCTTTTCAGAAATACAAAGTTACACCTTCACATTGGAAGACAAAGCATCTCTGGGGTCAGAAAAGCACATAGACAGACACCATTCAGAAGCTCAGAGCAGGAAAGTCCCTGGCTCAATACACTCATAGAATCACAGAATGATTTGGGTTGGAAGTGACCTTAAAGATCATCTTGTTCCAACCCCCTGTCATGGGGAGGGACACCTTCAACTAGACCAGGTTGCTCCAAATCCCATCCAACCTGGCCTTAACAGCTCCTTTTTGTTCAGAATTCCATGAGAAAATAGAGTAATTGCTAGAATTAAAGAGGTGCCAGGCCAGGAATCCATAATTAATCACATTTTACTCTCTCCTCACTTTCCAATATGGAATTTCAGGGTAAGCTAAAATCACAATGCAGCAGTTGTAATCAAAACCAAATGTGGGCAAAGAGATGTCTTAAGACAAAGCACTACCACCTTGTATTTATCCTTTCTTCCACAAATACACATACAACAACAAAAAAAAAAAAAAAGAAAAAAGAAAAAGAAAAAATATAGTGTGCCTCAAAAGGCCTATTAAGATAAAGCAAACAAACAGGCTTTTCAATATAGCATTGAAGACTGAAATGGCTGTGGTACATTTTTACCCATTTCATAATAAGACAGGTAGATAAATATATTCTTACAGTGCTCTTGTAGAAATCAATATTGCAATACACTAACTTGGGGTTTAGTGCTTATCTGTTCCATGATTTTTATTACAGAGGAAAATAAAACCCTCTGTAGATGCATCTGCAGGTAAATACTAATGTCAGTGTAACCTGCTCTGTAAACACATGTTAACCACTGCTAAAAGACAAGGAAATATTGATTATTCCAGCTCATTCTAATTAAATGGATGCAGCAAATCTGACAGATGATACAGCCACCAGGATATCTCGAGGCTTTCTGATGTCTTCCAGGCAGCAATATTTCTTAAGGAAATAGGGTTGTTTGAGGGGAGAGCAATGCAAACTCCTACAGTGAATCTGAAGTCTGGAGCTGGTTTATGTCAATAAAGGAGGCAGATCAGAACAGAAGCAAGAGATTCTCCTGGTTAGCAAGTAAAAGGAGTTCCAGGCTCTTCATGGCAAAACCATGTTCTGTGTGCATTTTGTGAACAGTGTGTTTACTGCTGGTCCCTGCATCATCTCAGGGTTCAGTGTTACTTTGGAAAGCAGAGCTGCTTATCTGTTTTTATACAACAAGCTCTAACCAGTGGGCAACTGAATCCCACCTCCAGCAAAACTATGGGAAAGAAGGAAGAAGGGTTGGGAGAGGGGAAGGGCTCCACTCAGTATTTACACATGGACTGGCCATGAACAACAACTGCTTTGCACAAGAGTTGTCCCATGGGCTACACAGCTCCCCTGTGTCAGTATTTAGGGCATCCATGTGCCCAGACACAGGCTGTGAATCCTGGAATCTGAAGGGAATTGCAGTGGTCAGATTTGCTGTGCCTCAGTCCCAGCAGAGTCTGTTCTCTGTGCCTCTGCACTCCAGTAAAATGGGTATAAACAGCATTTCCAAAGATTAAAGAAAGAAACAATAAAGGTCTAAAATTATTTGAAAACTATATGGGCACTGTATAATTCCTTTGACAGATGGAATAAGATAGCATTTTAAATTAGGTGCATTTCCTACCAATATTTACATGTTGTAAAATGCTTCTTATGGCTACTTTCTGTAAAGAATAAATTACTAACCCATTTTTGTGCCATCTTTTATAATAAGCTATTAAATAATTTAGAAAACCTCCTTCCATTAAATATTTAAAAGGCCTTAATTTCTCCATTCTCAGTAATTCCTCACTTATAGTACAGCAGTGCATCCCTTAAAGACTCCTGCAAAGCAATGGGGAGGGAGGAAAGCAGTTTGGGGACCATGTACTGTACAGGGGGATTTGCCAGCCTGAGTTTAACCCTACTGTCAGCCTGTTTTACTCCTATCTCCTACTGAATAAAGAGCTGAGAGAAAACAGAGCAACATCTGCCATTTCTTAGAAGAGAGGGGAAAAAAGATCTGGTCTGGTCACTGTGTGTATTTGAAAAGAACTGCTATTTAAGTTTGAGGGGAACTAGAGGGGGAAAAAATTTTAAAAAAAAAATCAAGAAAGGAGCAAGAGTGGACACCTTCTTGGCCACTCCTTTGTTACACATTGGCTGTCTAACACAGAGCCCCAATTCAGGGCTAAACCACTATAAACAGGTCACGTATTCTGCAAAAGTACTTGAAGGGGGCTATAAAAAAAAGAAGATAGGACAAAGGGGAATAGTTTTAAATGAGAAGAAGAGAAGTTTAGATTAGCTGTTATACAGAAGTTCTTCCCTGTGAGGGTACTGAAGCACTGGCACAGGTTGGCCAGAG